TGCATTAACAGCATGCGAGTTAAATCACATTTATCTTTTTCATTCATATTAAAATATGGATCAAGAAGACTAAATCTAACAAGTCTATTTAGACTTTGAATTTGTTTAAAAACATTTTTAAATTTTGTTGATGAATTAATTGAAGCAAATATACATGATTGAAGATTAATAAAATTATGTCGATTAAATAATAAATTAATAACAGATGAATAATCAAGAATTATATCATGAATTTCTAATGAAATAACTTGATGAGCATGAAAAGTAAGATAATAAGAAAGAAAATCAATTTGACGACGACAATAATTATGTAGAATAATAATACGAAGTGGAATAGATTGCAAAATAGATGAAATTCGTTGATTCAATGAAGTAAAACTAGTCAAAATATCAAGTGCATGTAAATATTCAAATATTTCGAAAAAAATTTCATTCGATAAATCTTCTAAATGAGTATGTATACTCATTTTTTTGTAGAAATAATGATAATAATCACACGATTTAGTTTAATCTTGTCGAAAGAATATCTTTTATACTCTATCATAACAGAGTCTATGAACAATATTGACGAGAAGATAAAAAGAAAAATGAATATGACGGTCAATTTATTTTTTATATATGAAAGAAAGACATTGATAAAAAGGTATATTGACGATATCAATCCGTCTAATTATTATCTAGAATGATATTTTCTATCACAGATGTAATCTTAAAAAAGAGAAGAGAGAGAGAGAAAGAGACAAAAATAATTAAGCAAATTTCTTTAGACAGAAAAATTTTGAAGCAAGATTATAAATGGTAACAGTGATGCAGAACGTAATCTGGTGATATAAAGGATGACGAGAAAAATTCATAGTTTAAATAAACTTGTTATATTTACTCTTCTTGAAGCATATTTTAATATAAATGTGATTTAATTCGAATGATGTTCATGAACAAATCATCTTCTCTTCGTTCAATGATACTTCAACATTGTTATGATTATTTAGATATATCAAATTATACTTCAATGTCTTCAAATATCTTACATCACTTCATTTACATATACATGGTACATATTCCATTGTATCTGTTTATTTAATATTATTAATTTTTTGTCTTTCTCATATAATATCATATTTAGACATAGCAACAGAAAATTAAGATTTGATTAAAATAATTAATGTAAATTAAGTTTTCAAGTAGTGATTATATCAAATGAGAAATTTTTAAAAGGAAAACTATTAAGAATAAAAATAAAATGATTGTTTTTTTTTGGTTTCAGTGTTTAAATTGAAACACCATCTATTAGTGTTACTTCCATATTTTCCTTTACGTCAATAAATATCTGATTCTTACATAAACTATCGATACAGATGTTGCTACTTGCCAATATATAAAAAGTACAATATAACCATAATTTTTCTGAAAAAATTAATTTTTTCATATCACATACCATTTTTTAATTTGTAAGAAAAAATCAAGTCAAATGTAATCAATGATAGTCAAAACTTTAATTTACTATTTGTCTGTATGTGTCTTTGTCTATATAGCTTATCCTTTGTGTATAGTGTTACTTATTTTTATTCTTCATTTTCTATTTCAAATTTTTTTATTTTCTCACGCTTGACCGTTTCTTCAATCTAATAATTTCTTCTCTTTTTTCAGATGGCACCTCATATTTCATGTAATAAGCAATTCAACATTGTTGAAGTAAGTAAAATTAAATTTTGTTATTGATTTTTATGATCTTTGCTTTAGAATGAATATTATCAACCACCTCAAGAACTAATGAATTTACCATTGGTCGTTAATGGTATTGCTGCTCCTTTTGGTCCTGAAGTGGTGGTGATGCACTTATTTGATGCTGAAGAATTTAATGATGGTCTTGATCCTGTCGATTTTGATGGTGCTGTTCATCATATTGATGGTAGTGGTGTTCACGATATCGATGATGATGTTGGCGGTAGTATCGATGGTGATGTTTTTAGTGTTGTCCATGCTGATCACGTCAACAAAGTTTTCACTGATGAAAAGGACACCAGCAACTTGCCAGTGACAACATCATTATTATATCCTGCACGATGTTTATCACCACTTTCATCACGAGTCAAATCAATATTAGCAGGAATGGTGATGATATTGGTAGTTTTTTCATGTAAGTTTATTATTATTATTACTGGAACTATTATATAATATATTTCTTTTATTCTTTTTTATTATCAGTATATAATATTGATTTATATGGAACGCCACATGATCATGCAGCAGCAGTAGTAAAAAAATTTGGTGATACAACTGCTGTATATGTTTTTTATAAATATGATGGTTTGCTAATAAAATTAAGTTTATTATTTCGTTAAAATTTTTTTATTTAGATTTTATTCGATTTAAAACTATTATGGATGAACGTCGAAATAAAATGACAGGTGAAATAGCTGGTGGTACAGGTAGTTTAAAAAAATCAACAAAACGACAATGTTTCGTTCGGTAAATTTTTTTGTATTTTACTTTAAATAAAAATATAACTTCTTCTTTTAAGAACGAAATTTAATTATGATCCATTCAAAGACTCAAATATACCAGGTGATCGTGATGTACCATATTATGGTGGTGATATACTTTATATAGGAAATGTTGATAACGATTCATGGTGGTGTACAAATGTTAATATTGTTCAAGAAGCTACTAATACTGTATATACATTGATATATTTATTTAAACGAGTTTAATTGAATTCTTTTATTTTAGTCAAAACATTGCATTTTGCATGTAAGTGATCATGCAATAAAATGTTTAATTACTACTGATCTTTATCCAATTGCCATATTTATTAAACCATGTGATGCCAAATGGATTATGTAAGTCACGAATAAGATTTCTTAGAGTTTTTATTTTATTATTATTATTTTTTCTTTAGAAATAATATAGGAAATGAAGCTAATGAAGAATGTGTTCAACAAATGTACGAAAAATCATTAAGAATTGAACAACAATTTGGACATGTTGTTACAGGTAAATAGAACACGATTTGAATTAAAGCTTGATTTTTGTTTTTGTTTTAGATATTGTTGAAGAAGAAACTTTAACTAATGTGTATGATCGTATATGCGATGTTATTGATCTTAATTTTTTTTGTTTTGTTTTTTATTGACATAATACTTTTTTTTGTACTCTTTAATGAACCAATTTTTGATCTACTTATCATCGTGTATATGTATTTCATTCTCATTTATTTGTCTGTACCCTGTATCTCTATTCTAGTCTTTTTCTTTGTTGAATTTCATCTATATTTTTTGCGAGAAAATGCACAACTTTCTTTTTCTTCTTTTGTTTTATTTATATGTTGAAAATTAATATTAACCAAAAATGGTTAGATTATAATGAACATATTTTCTTTTTCATTTATTTGTAAAACTAACATTTGAATGATGTGTTTTGTTTTTTTCGTTTAACTTTAAATTATGGAAAAAAAACATTCGATACTAAG